ATACTCTTAAAAAGATAGTCCATTCAAGCCCATTTATTGAGATGCTGAATAATGGCCCGACAAATGCTCTAGAATCTAATTTTAGGATCTTTTGTCCTTCCTGCAAGACGGATCATGTAATCAGTGAAATTGTTCAGCTAAGGCAGAAGCCTCTTTCGCAGGCATCCGACACATTTTCGAGAGATAATTTAATTTCATCCCAAACTTCTTTTAAGGATTTGACTTATATGCAGAAGAGGCCTCTACTTTTTTCTTCCATGGATAACTATAAGGGTGATGCTCTTAAATTAGCCCCGAGACAACAATCTGTTTTGGAGGCCATTTATGAGGATGCTTCCAACACGGAAAGCTGTGGAGATCAACTTGAACAGTATTGTTCATTGGAAGTAATCAGTGACTCAGGAACAGCCGAAAAAGCTGATGAGGGACCTATTGATATGACTGGCTTATTCAGACAGGAGAAATGTATCCTCACCACTCTCTCAAATTTCGATCCACTAGAAGATGAATATTCCTCTTTAGCTGCCACTTTGATTAATTACCGTCTACCTCGTAACGGCAGGGCAAACATCAAACTCGTTGTTTCGGACCAGCGTCTTGCTGAAGAGTATTCTAGTGCATTGGCTGACCTTGCGAAAGCTGCCGAGGGACCAGACATGGTTCACTTTCGAGAGCGTCTTGAGGATTTTCGTGCTCGGCTTCGTCGGGATGTTGGCCGAAGCGTTAAAGTAGCTCGTGGTGAATGGGAAGCCTGGAGGGCTAAATCGGCTCGCAGCGTAGCTACTTTGCGAAACCAAAGTTCCGCAGCTGCCCAAAAAATGCGTGCAGGGCTTTCACATGGTGTTGAACAAATGAAGGATGGAATGCGTAGCATGGCAGAACTTTGTGGAGCAACAGGAACTATTGGACAGACAATATCTGTGGTTAGTGTCTATGTTGACGAAGCAGACCAAATAAAAAAAGAAAGAGTTATTTCTGACTTTGTCTTCTAAATCATTGTGATAAGACCAACATACTATTTGTGCATTTAGGCAGCTGAAATATGAAACTAGCAGAACTCAACTTGATTTAGATATACTTTAAACTTATGCACCATGCCAACGATCTATTGTTTCAATAAAGGCACAAATTTCACTGAGATTTTGGCTTTTCTGGCCTATTACCTTTGGGGGAAATTTTTCTGTGTTTTTCCAGTTTAGTTATATTTTATTTATTTTGGCCATTTTTTTCGATTCCAAACTTTACCCTCGCATTTCTCAGGTCTGTTCTCTTATAGCCTATGTCAGACGTGGAAATATATTTTCCTAAACCTTAATATACCGTCCATCATCTCGATTTTTATATGTTACTATGGTATTTACTCTTCAAACTACGCTGGACATACTTCATTTCAGCACTTATATGTGCTGCGTAAAGATCTTTCCATTCCATCTGTATTATAGTGCAAGTGTTTTCATACTCACAAGTTTAATATACTCTTCAAATATTTTTGTTAACTTTATCTTTTATGTGTGACCAATGACATGCAAATGCCGACACATTAGATTTTCGTTACCAACATTTTGGAATCTAAAAAGCTTATATTTATCACATTAATCTGTACCCAAACATTAAATTACTTTTATAAACAAAATTGTGTTATTTGACCCTACATTTTTGATAAATTTGTGAAATGGTAGGTGATTGTGTCTTTGAAGATTGAATTTGACTTGTTTATTCACATTTATGTGTCAATATGTAAGGAAATCGTTAATTTATCCACATCAGACCTGCTAGGTACCTTTGCTCTTGCTTCACTGACCTCGCCTATTGCCAAGTATTCATGGAGGGCAGCTTGGACTAATGTGCTATGTATGACACTGACTCCTACTAGTTACCTCAGATTTATCTCTTCGGTAAACTTTCCTAGAATTCCAGTTTTTTGTTTTTTCCATTTATACCAATTATTCATAAAGAAAGCTTGTTTTATTTTTTTGTTAATAAGTTTTGGATATAACCAATTAATCTTGTCTGCTGAGAATGGACATTCACCTTCACTATTACATGGTGCTATTTATGAATTTTACCTCGTCTTGGCATCTGATGTCAATGAAATTATGCTAATCAATGAAATTTGGATGACTTACTTAAATCCATCGGATCCTTTCTTCCCAGACCCTGGAGTTATTATCTCCTCTTAGACAGTTATTCTCATTTTAGTTATTTTTTCAGTAGTGCCAAGTGCAAGGCTGTATGCTATTTATACTGCATGCGATAATTTATTAATACTTATGTGGAAGCTGGGCTTTGTTCTATCATCATTGATTGCTGTTTTTGAGACATGCCCATTATACATTTGGTAAAGTTAATCGAGTCAGCTTGATTGGCGCTTGTAAACAGTCAGTCATATTATTCTTTCATTTTGGTATTGCATTTTTCCTTTAATTATTAACAAGCGAGGCTTAAAATATCTGCCTTTTTAGCAGACCATGCTAAGTAGAGGTTGTTTGACCTTGTTTTCGCAACATAGCATATTTGGTAGGAAGACTTATTGGAACGCACCTAGTCTGGGGTCCATTGTCTGCATGATCATTTCCAAAGTTGAACCGTAGACGTGGGAATGTACCACTA